TCAAGGCCAGCGCAGTGGCTCACGCCTGTAATCCCAGTACTTTGGGAAGCCAAGGAAGGCAGATTACTTGAGCACAGGAGTTCCTGAGCAGCTTGGGCAATATGCAGAAACCTTGCCTCTATAAAAAGTTAAAAAATTAGCTGGGTGTGGTGGCACACACCTGTAGTCCCAGCTACTCCAGGGGGCTGAGGTAGAAGAATCACTTGAGCCTGGGAAGTTACAGTGAGCCAAGATCGTGCCACTGCACTCCAGCATGGGTGACAGACAGAGTGGGAGAGTGGGATCCTGTCTCAAAAAAAAAAAAAAAAAAAAAAAAAAACAGAAAAAGAATTTCAAAATGACAATGACAACCTCGAAGCATTAAAACCCAAGCACAGAGCTCCTTCCTGAGCTTGGGGCCCTGTAAGACTACAACAATAGTTACACACATTAGATTGGCCCTGCCTGGAACATTCTTCAGGATCCCCTTTTACCAGTCTTTGTCCAGTGAGGGTAGAGACACTGAAGTGTAAGCTACCCGAGGCGGGGAATTCTAAATGCTGCTGACACCATGTACCTTTAATCACAGCCTCGGGAGGCTGTGGTCCTGACAGCTCTTCAAGACACGGGGAAGTAAAAGCCTCTTGTTCTAAGGCTTGGGATGCCACAGGGCCTTGGGTTTCAGGATGAAACTGTCCCCTCCTTAGCCCCCTAAGCTTGACTTGTTGGGTTCTCAGAGCCCTGAATTAGAGTCAGAAACCTCCTGAGCCATTTGCTTCCCTGACATACAGTCCAGACAAGTGTCCCAAAACACCTTCTCAACCCTTTTTCGCTCTGTCCATTGCTCCCTGTGGTAGACAGAATAATGATCTGGACAAAGATGTCCACATCCTAATCCCTGAAACCTGAGAAGACTCCCAAAACACACATTGCAGATGTGATCTTGACATGGGTAAATTAAGGATCTTTTTGTTTGTTTCCTTACTTATGGGAAATTTTAAATTTGCATTTAAGTTTTTTTAAAAAAGAATCTTTTTTTTTTTTTTGAGTCAGAGTCTTGCTCTGTGGCCCAGTAATGTGATCACGGCTCACTGCAACCTCCAACTCCTGAGCTCAAGCAATGGATCCTTCTTCTTCAGGCTCCAGAGTAGCTGGGACTGCAGATGGGAGCCACCATGCCCAGCTAAGTTTGTGTTTTGTAGAGATAGAGTCTCGATATGTGGCTCAGGCACGTCTGCAGTGCTGCAATCATAGCTTATTTCAGGCTCGAACTCCTGCGCTTGAGAGATCCTCCCACCTCAGCCTCCTGAGTAGCTGGGACAGGAAGTGTGAGCCACCATGCCCAGCTAATTAAAAAAGTTTTTTTGCTGGGCGCGGTGGCTCACAGCTATAATCCCAGCACTTTGGGAGGCCGAGGCAGGCCCGAGGTCAGGAGTTGGAGATCGGCCTGGCCAACATGGCGAAACCCTGTCCCTACTAATAATATAAAAATAAGCCAGGCATGGTGGTGCATACTGTAGTCCCAACTACAAGGGAGGCTGAGGCAGAATCGCTTGAGGCTGAGGTGGAGGTTGCAGTGAGCTGAGATTGCACCACTGCACTCCAGCCTAGGCAACACAGCAAGACTCCATCTTAAAAAAAAATTTTGAGAGACAGGCTCTTTCGATATTGTCCAGGCTAGTGTTGAACTTCTGGCCTCAAGCTCTTCTCCTGCTCTGGCCTCTCCAAGTACTGGGATTACAGGCATGAGCCCCTGCACACAGCCCCTCAGAAAGCCTTCTTGACCACACCAGTAACAAGGTCTTTTCACAAGCACTCACAGGACCATTAACCTATGTGGCATCTGAAATTCCTTTTGGGGACCTGGGTGCATCCAGGTGTGAATGGTTATCCTTCATACATATGTCATTTGGCAAAGGGGTTTCCTGGGCTGTGGCAAGAGCTGTCCCTGGACACAAACTACACAGTCATTCTCCATGCAATATCAGGGCCACACCCCACTGGGGCCAGCTCTGGGAATGAGAGGGAGAAGACTCCCAGGGTAGTAGAGCAGGTCCAAATGCCCCCAAGGTAAAGCTGGAACAACTGATAACCTTCCAGTGCTGTGACAGACCAGGTCTGCCTTTTGTTGTTGTTGTTGTTGCTATTAATCATGCTACTTTTTTTTTTGGAGACAGAGTTTCACTCTTGTTGCCCAGGCTGGAGTGGAATGGTGTGATCTGGGTTCACCGCAATCTCTGCCTCTGCCCGGGTTCTCCTGTCTCAGCCTCCCAAAATAGCTGAGATTGCAGGCATGCGTTGCTACACCCAGCTAATTTTGTATTTTTAGTAGAGACGGGGTTTCTCCATGTAGGTCAGGCTGGTCTCGAACCCCCGACCTCAGGTGATCTGCCCACCTCAGCCTCTCAAAGTACTGGGATTACAGGCGTGAACTACTGCACCTGGACACATTATTATTATTATTATTATTTTTTTTTTTTTTTTTTTGAGATGGAGTTTCGCTCTTGTTACCCAGACTGGAGTGCAATGGTGCGATCTCGGCTCACCGCAACCTCCGCCTCCTGGGTTCAGGCAATTCTCCTGCCTCAGCCTCCCCAGCAGCTGGGATTACAGGCACGCGCCACCATGCCCAGCTAATTTTTTGTATTTTTAGTAGAGACGGGGTTTCACCATGTTGACCAGGATGGTCTGACACATTATTTTTAATTATGTACAAAGATTTAACATGACACCCAGGGACCATTTCACCTACTGTTCTGTTTGGCCATCAGTCTTTTTTCTCTGTCTTCAGCATTGGTGAGGCAAATACCCTTTCCTAGGGGAAGAGAAATCCATGGTTTGCTGCCCTTGCCAATAACAAAAATGTTGGAAAGTCAAGTGGCAAAGCTGTTGTCATTAGCATCTTTCTTGTGAACCACATCAAAAGATCCAGGGTGCTCCTCTCTGGATCCTACGAGACTTACCTCTCAGTAATGACACCGATTCTTCCCAGATTAGCACCTCCAGGCACCATACGCAGGTTACCAGTGTCAAACTTGATGAAATCAGTAATCTCACCAGTTTCCAAAACAATCTGAGTGGTATCCCCACCTGATGAGGGGATCAGGGTATCGGATGGTGAGAGCATCATGAGTCACCAGATAAGGGATTCCTTTTGTGCTCACAAAGATTTTTCTCACTTTGCACAACTTGTACTTGGCCTCCTCAGGTGTAATAAGATGTATGGCAACGCGACCCTTGGTTTCATAGATCAGATGGAAATTCTCTCCTGTCTTGTCAATGCGGATGACATCCATGAATCTGGCAGGGTAGTTTATATCAGTTCGGACCTTGCCCTTGATCTTAATGAACCGCTGCATGCAAATCTTTACTTCATCTCCTGTCAGGGCATACTTAAGACTGTTCCTTAGCAAATTGATGATGGGGACACTCTCTCAACTTGTGGGGACTGGCGGATGGACGAGGAGCAAGCACACTGGTCCATTTATCCAGCATCCAATGCTTTGGAGCTGCTACCCACTTCAGATGCTTCTTGGGACCACCAACCATGGCTGCATTAGGCAAGGAAAGAGGACCTCCATCTTCTGCTGCATGTAGAAATTGGGGCTGAAGACTGCACACCTGTCTTAATATTATCTTACTGATCTTGTTTCCCAGTGAACCATCTGCCCAGTGTCACTGGCTCTCACTCTTCATTTTAATTTTTTTTGTAGGAGGGTCTTGCTATGTTGTCCAGGCTGGTCTTGAACTCTTTAGCTCAAGTGATCCTCCCACCTTGGCCTCTCAAAGCACTGGGATAACAGATGCAAGCCACTGAGGCGAACCAGTCTCCCTGTGTTTTGTGAATGTTATTATTTTCCTGTGCCCTAGCTTTTTGCCTGGTAAGGTGAGGTTGTGTCACGCAAAGTCTTTTTTTTTTTTTTTTTTTTTTTTGCTGGAGTCTAGCTCAGTTTCCCAGGCTGGAGTGCAGTGGCACAATCTTGGCTCACTGCAGCCTCTGCCTCCCAGGTTAAAACAATTCTGGGGCCGGGCGCGGTGGCTCAAGCCTGTGATCCCAGCACTTTGGGAGGCCGAGGCGGGTGGATCACGAGGTCAAGAGATCGAGACCATCCTGGTCAACATGGTGAAACCCCGTCTCTACTAAAAATACAAAAAATCAGCTGGGCATGGTGGCGTGTGCCTGTAGTCCCAGCTACTCAGGAGGCTGAGGCAGGAGAATTGCCTGAACCCAGGAGGCGGAGGTTGCGGTGAGCCGAGATCGCGCCATTGCCCTCCAGCCTGGGTAACAAGAGCGAAACTCCGTCTCAAAAAAAAAAAAAAAAAAAAAAAAAAAAACAATTCTGGGATTACAGGTGCCCACTACCATGTCCGGCTAATTTTTGTATTTTAGTAGAGACAGAGTTTCACAATGTTGGCCAGGCTGGTCTTGAACTCCTGGCCTTAAGTGATCCACCTGCCTCAGCCTCCCACTGTGCTGTGATTACAGGCCTGAGCCACCACACCCAGCCAAAGAGTTGAAGGCTTAAAGAAGAAACAGAGGAAAACGGAGGGTCCAAAAAGCAGAAAAGGATTCTAGGGGTTGTGAACACCCAGGCAACCCTGGCAAGAGGCTTTGTTGCATCCAGATGATGAGGCAGGAGTTCTACCGCAGGCAGGATTAGGTGGTATTTTTGTTCATTTCTTTTTAGGTTGGGTACATTAGCTTAGAGACAAGTTCTTATTCCAACAACAACAAACAAACAAGAAAGATCTTATTCCAGGGCTGAAGCGTATCTTAAGTCAACTTGCCCAATCCCTCCTTTTGTAGGTAGAACCTGCAGCTCAGAGAAATTAAGTGGCTTTCTCATGGTCACAGTTTTTCGATGCAAGCACCAGGAGTGACCCGGGTCTTCTAAATCCTCTCTGGGCCTCATCACTGCCCCAAGGGCCCAGGTCCCCTGGGAACAGGGGCAGGAGGAACTGGAGGACGTCTTGAGTACCAAGAAAGAAGTGGGAAGACAGGGGCAAGTACCCCACATCTCTCATTTTCATTTTAAAAATTTATTTTATTTGACTTGGAAAATGAGTACAAATCCCTAGGTATTTTTTGGTGGGGAGGAGGGGGGAGTGGTCAGGAAAGAGAAGAGGACAGGAGGCAAGGTAAGGTATGAGCATCACAGTGGCTGCCTCAAGACCCGGCCCAGGGAGGGTGGGGTGGGCTGGGGGTTGAGCAGGGAGCTCAGGTACGGAGGAACACCATGGTGAGCAGGCCTGGAGAGGGGACAAAGAAAGAACAGGGTCGCATGAGCAGCCCTGGGGCTCTGTTAGTTTTCCTCCCGTCCCTTCTCCCTTTTTCCTGGGGCCTGGATCTCTGGCCACTAGTGTCCTCACCCAAGACGTAGGCGGCCACCAACTTTTGTCCCAGGGAGACGTGTAGGACTTGAGGCAGTTGGCTGCCAAGCTCGTCCTGGAGTGGGAGCAGCAGGAAGGCCACAGAGACAATCCCCGTCAGCAAGAAGAGGAGAAAGGAGCTGGTGGCCAGTTGCTGGCGGGGGTCTGAGAAACAAGACTTGTCAGATGCTGCAGCCCCAACTCCTGCCCAGCCCAGGTCCTCCAGGGAGAAGCCTGAACACGGGAGATGTATCTACATTTTTTTTAAATTATTTTTTTATTTTTATTATTATTATTTTTTTTGAGACAGAGTTTTTGCTCTTGTTGCCCAGGCTGGAGTGCAATGGCATGATCTTGGCTCACTGCAACCTCCGCCTCCTGGGTTCAAGCGATTCTCCTGCCTCAGCACCCCGAGTAGCTGGGATTACAGGCATAAGCCACCATGCTCAGCTAATTTTTGTATTTTTAGTAGAGACAGGGTTTCACCATGTCAGCCAGGCTGGTCTCGAACTCCTGACCTTGTGATCCGCCTGCCTCGGCCTCCCAAAGTGCTAAATTACAGATGTGAGCCACCGCGCCAGGCCATTTTTTATTTTTTGTAGACATGGAGTCTCACTACGTTGCCCAGGCTGGTCTGGAACTCCTGGCCTCAAGTGATTCTCCTGCCTCAGCCTCCTGAGTAGCTGGGACTATGGGTTCATGCTACCATGCCTGACTAATTTTTAAATTGTTTGTAGAGGGTCTCGCTATGTTGCCCGCCCAAGCTGATCCTGAACTCTTGGTCTCAAGCAATCCTCCCACCACCTCAGCCTCCCAAAGCACTGGGATTATAGGCATGAGCCACCACACCCTGTATCTACATCTACTTTTTTTTGAGAAAGAGTCTCGCTCTGTCTTGCCCAGGCTGGAGTGCAGCCACCTGATCCCAACTCACTGCAGCCTCCGCTTCCTGGATTCAAGTATTTCTCCTGCCTTAGCCTCCCAAGTAGCTTGGATTACAGGTGTGGGCCACCACGTATAGTAGAGATGGGGTTTCACCATGTTGGCCAGGCTGGTCTTGAACTCCTGGTCTCAGGTGATCTGCTCACCTCAGCCTCCCAAAGCACTTAGATTACAGGTGTGAGCCACTGCGCCCTGTATCTGTACTTTATATTGCCCTCCAGGGCTACACTGCAAGTGTCTTCTTCCCAGAGCCTCTGTCCCCACCACCACAAGAAACTCTCAGGCCAGGCGCAGTGGCTCACACCTGTAATCCCAACACTTTGGAAGGCTGAGACAGGAGGATCACCTGAGGTTGGGAGTTTGAGACCAGCCTGATGAACACGGAGAAACCCTGTCTCTACTAAAACTACAAAATTAGCTGGGCGTGGTGGTGCATTCCTAAAATCCCAGCTTCTCAGGAGGCTGAGGCAGGAGAATTGCTTGAACCTGTGAGGAGGAGGTTGTGGTGAGCTGAGATCCTGCCATTCCACTTCAGCCTGGGCAACAAGCATGAAACTCTGTCTCAAAAAGAAAAGAAAAGAAACTCTTCTCCAGTCCCTCAGCATTCATTTTCTCTCTTCTGTGGACTTATCTGACAGGTAGGGACCTCTCTTCCTTCCATACCCAGCACACAACTTGGTACAGTGTTAATTGCTCAATACAGGTTTCTTATTGAACTGAACTGAGCTACCACAAGATAGGAAGTACTGTGGTTAGAGTCAAGGAAGAACTTTTTCCTCTAAGTAGAAGTCAGAAATCCGGAAACTTGTAAAGTCTTTTTTCCCCCTCATCTGATATAAAATCTCAACTCCTAGGAATGCTCCCACCAAAAGGCAAAAGACTGAACCAGGAGACTTCTTCAAATCCAATTTAGCTCATCTCTAGGGAAATGCTACTTCGTCTCTCTCTAAAGAACTCAGGATCCCTATCTCCCAACTCACGCTCCTGGAAGTGTCTGGCCGTAGGTGGTGGTGTCCCAGTAGGAGGCCCTGGGTGGGGCGGTGGGTCCGGCTGTCCCTGAAGCTCAAGGGGATACGCTGGGGCTCTCAGAACCGAGGTAATGTCCTTGCGTCCCACCACTCGGCCCTCAGCTCCTTCCTCAGACAGCTCAATGCGGAAGCGGTCCTGGACATCATAGTGGCTGGGAATGGGTGCCACGTGGCGAATCACACTGGTCCCAAGGTAAGACAGAAGACCATTGTGGTGAAGTGAGTGAGAGGCAGTAATCCAAGGAAATCCGGGCCTCCCCCCAGAAGCCTCTCCCTTAGGGGCACAGACAGAGGGTAGGGAAAACAGGTTAAAGAGGGCAAGGTCTCAGACCTAAGACAACAGGTGGCAGCGACCCCTGGCTTCCATCAGCATCCCCACCCTCTCAGCTCACTCACATGTCAATGCAAGACTGAGGCTTCACATATCCCTCCGCGTCAAACACCGTGTATTTGGCAGGTGCTGTGCACAGGACTGGGGGATAGAGACACACACAGACAATCCTTGCCATGTGGGTCATTTGGGTCCCCTCTACCTTCTGCCCTGGAGGCTGGACATGACTTTCCCAATCCGCCAAAGCTGCACGTCCGACCCTACCCATCTGACTCCTCCAGCCAACACAGCCCCCCAGTGTCCGGCCGCCAGCCCCCAGACCCCTTGCACGAGGAGCCGATCCCTTTACCTCGGAAGCGAAGCGCTGTTCCTGTGGGGTTATAGAGGGTCAGCAGCTGTCGGGGTCCGCTCCGCTGGTCCGCCCTGAATACTAGATCCGGGGGAAAGACCAGGACCGGGACAACGGGTCCCAAGGGAGGAGGGGCGCCCCGGGACCCCCGCCCAGGGGGCCCCGGACCCACCAGCTCCTGGTCCTGGGGCGCCCCACGGCGCATGCAGGCTCTGGGCGGTTGGACATCCGAGGGCAGAGCTCAGGGGACAGGGCCTGGAGTCGAGAGCTGGGGGGCGTGAGGGGTGAAAGGGGACGAGATGAGCTCCCGGGGCAGGGCCTGGACTGACGCCGCCGCTGCCGCCTCGAAACCCCGCTAGATGGGGCTCCCGCAGATCCAGGCCCAGAGCCCCCAAGCCCTTCCCTCTTCCAGCTCTGCCCCAGGTTCCTTTGGACCCGCTAAGCCCCACCTCGACAGCCACGCCCACCCCGCTAAACCCGGCCCCTCGCAGTTCCCAACCCGGCCTTCTCCTCAGGCCAAGCTCGCGATCTCCATAAGCCCCGCCCCGCCGCTGGCCTCGCCCCTTCCGGGCGTTCCCGGACGCCTGCGTCCTCTCTTCGGCCAGACTCCGCCCACTGCAGCGGCCGCCTGCGGAGCAACCTCTGACGCCTCCTGCTTCCCGGGAGACCTGTGTTTGCGTCTCTGGCCCCTCCCTAAGGTCGGACACGGGTCCGATCGGGCTTCTGCCTAGAAACGGCCGCTCGCGCTAGGATGCCCGCATTGTGTTCGAAGCACCTGCCAGTCAGCTTGTGGTCAGACTAAGGATGCCATGTTCCCGAGAGTCCCTTTCTGCACTTCCGCCGTACGACTTCTGTTATTGGCCAGAGCATCTTTGTTTCCGCCATAACTATACGCCGATTGGTGCGCTGAAAGACCAAACAGAACGCCCTCCTTCTGTCGTCTGTGATTGGCTGGATTCCGGTGACGTAACAATTTTACTGGCTCGAACTCGAGCCCTGAAGTAATTCAGAGAAACGGGGGCGGGGCTTCGAACTGGGCTTTGTTTCTTCTCCCTATTCTGAGACGGTCCAAGTCAATCTCCCACCGGGAAGTCCTTTTCCTCCTCTTCAATTCCAGGCTACCTTAGAAACCTCTGCAGGAATCAAAGCCTGTTTTCTTTTCTGCTTTTTTAAATTTTTTTTTTTTTGAAACTTAAGTCTCGCTCTGTCGCCCATGCTAGAGTGCAATGGCACGGATCTCAACTCACTGCAACCTCCGCCTCCCGGGCTCAAGCGATTCTCCCGTCTCAGCCTCCCGAGTAGCTGGGATTACAAGCATGAGCAACCACGCCCGGCTAATTCTTTGTATTTTTAGTAGAGACATGGTTTCACCTTGTTGGTCAGGCTGGTCTCGGACTCCTCTCCGTACTCGCCTCAGCCTCCCAAAATGCTGAGATAACAGGCGTGAGCCACCATGCCCAGCCTCTTTTTTGCTTTTTTAGAGAGAGTCTCACTCTGTTGCCCAGGCTGGAGTGCAATGGTGTGGTCATTGCTCACTGCAGCCTCCAACTGCTGGGTTCAAGCTAGTCTCCTGCCTCAGCCTCCCGAGTAGCTGGGATTACAGGCGTGCACCACCGTGCTTGGCTAAGTTTTAACTTTTTGTAGAGACGATCTCGCTATGTTGTGCAGACTGGTCTGGAACTCCTGGGCTCAAGCGATCCTCCCACTTAAGTCTCCGAAAGTTCATGAGCCACTGTCCCTCCCCCAGGCTCGAAGTCTGTTTTCTATGGCACTGGTTGGAGGTTCCACCATCTGGAACTGGGACTCAGCTGGGACTCCAGCCTGAGTCTCGCCTCCTGTTTCTTACTTTCCTGTAAGGGACGTGGGAAATCACTCACATTTGCACAGGGAATTAAGATTTGCTAATTTCAAACCCACGTTGTTCGATTAATTATATATTTTCAAAAAGGATTTGCCAAACCCTGCCACTTTAAATGCATTGAATCTTCAACTCCTTTTACACCCTGGATAAGGTGAAGAATCTTATCTTAGGGCTCCCTGTCAGCAATGGAGCAAAGATAAAATCGATCTTTTCTGAAAGTCTCCTCTGAAACTTACATAGAATCCCCCTGTGCATTTTTTTTTTCCCCCTGGAGACAGTCTTGCTCTGTCACCCAGGCTGGAGGGCAGTGGTTCAATCATAGCCCACTGCAGCCTCCACCTGCTTGATTGGGCTCAAGCAATCCTCCTGCCTCAGGCTTCTGAGTAGCTGGGGCCACAGGCATGCACCTCCACACCCAGCAACTTGCATTTGTTTTTTTAATAGCACTTATAGCGATACTTGGCCTCCTATTTTATTGTTTCTCTCTCCTCCAGTAGAATGTTCTTTTCTTTTCACAAGAGCAGGGACTTTTAGTTTTCCGTTGCATCTTTAGCACTTATGACAGTGCCTGCCATTTGGAATGAACAAATGAATGAGTGACTAGGATGAACTTTGAGCAGAGATCTGACTGGATTTAGGAAGTGAGCCGTGAGATATATCTATGGGAGAGAATTCTGGGTAGAGGAAACAGCAAAGGCCTAAAACAGAAGTGCACTAGAAATGGGCAACAAGCTGCCAATGTGACTGGAACCGATGGTACATGGGAGACGGTAGACATGAAGCTACAAGGCAGGAGAGAGAATGCAGATGATGTACAGTCTTGAACCCTTGGTAAGACTTGGGAAACTACAGGAAAGTTTTGAGTAAAGACAAGATGTGACATATCAGTTGGGCATGGTGGCTCAAGGCCTGTAATCCCAGCACTTTTGAAGGCAGAGGTGGGCAGATCACCTGAGGTTGGGAGTTCAAGACCAGCCTGACCAACATGGAGAAACCCAGTCTCTACTAAAAATACAAAATTAGCCAGGTGCGGTGGTACATGCCTGTAGTCCCAGCTATTCAAGAGACTGAGGCAGGAGAATCACTTGAACCCAGGAGGTGGAGGTTGTCATGAGCCGAGATTGTGCCATTGCCCTCCAGCCTGGGGGCATCTCAAAAAACAAAGATGTGACATATTTTCTTTAGTTTTTTATATTATGTTTTGAGACAGAGTCTTGCTCTGTTACCCAGGCTGGAGTGCAGTGGCACAATCTCGGCTCACTGCAATCTCTACCTCTTGAGTTCAAGAGATTCTTCTGCCTCAGCCTCCCACGTAGCTGGGATTATAGGCACCCACCACCACACCCAGCTAATTTTTTTGTATTTTTAGTAGAGACAGGGTTTCACCATGTTGGCCAGGCTGGTCTCAAACTCCTGACCTCAAATGATCTGCCTTGGCCTCTCAAAGTGCTGGGATTACAGGCGTGAGCCACCGTGCCCAGCCAAGATGTGACATATTTTCTTTTTACTTTTTTAGAGACAGGGTCTTTCTCTGTTGTCCAGGCTAGATTACAATGGTGTGATCATAGCTCACTGCAGCCTCAGACTCCTGGGCTCAAGCAAGCCTCCCACATCAGCCTCCTGAGGAGCTGGGTCCACAAGTAAGTACCACCATGCTCAGCTAATTATTTTCTGTAAAGACAGAATTTGGCCATGTTGCCAAGGCTGGTCTCAAACTTCTGACCTCAAGTGCTAGGACTGCTGGGCACAGTGGCTCACGCATGTAATCCCAGTACTTTGGGAGGCTGAGGCGGGCAGATCACGAGTTCGAGAGATCGAGACCATCCTGGCCAACATGGTGAAACCCCGTCTCTACTAAACAATACAAAAATTAGCTAGGCATGGTGGCAGGTGCCTATAGTCCCAGCTACTCGGGAAACTGAGGCAGGAGAATTGCTGGAACCCAGGTGGCGGAGGTTGCAGTGAGCCAAATTCACACAACTGCAATGTAGCCTGGTGCCTGGTGACAGAGCAAGACTCTGTCTCAAAAAAAAAAGTGCTGGGATTACAGGTATCAGCCATTGTGCCTTGCCTGTGACTTACATCTTTTTTTTTTTTAGACAGGGTCTTACTCTGTTCCTCGGGTGGAATACAGTGGCATGATCACAGCTCACTGCAGTCTCTGCCTCCCCGGGACCAAGCAATCCTCCCACTTCAACCTAAGTAGCTGGGAGTACAGGTGTGCACCACCACGTCTGGCTAATTTTTGTATTTTTTGTAGAGAGGGGGTTTTACCATGTTGCCCAGGCTGGTCTTGAACTCCTGAGCTCTGCAGTCCTCCTGACTCAGCCTCCCAAAGTCCTGATTACAGTTGTGAGTCACTACACGTGGTACACTCTTAAAAGATTATTCTGGGGCCGGGCGCGGTGGCTTACGCCTGTAATCCCAGCACTTTGGGAGGCCGAGGCGGGTGGATCACGAGGTCAAGAGATCGAGACCATCCTGGTCAACATGGTGAAACCCCGTCTCTACTAAAAATACAAAAAAATTAGCTGGGCATGGTGGCGCGTGCCTGTAATCCCAGCTACTCAGGAGGCTGAGGCAGGAGAATTGCCTGAACCCAGGAGGCGGAGGTTGCGGTGAGCCGAGATCGCGCCATTGCACTCCAGCCTGGGCAACAAGAGCGAAACTCCGTCTCAAAAAAAAAAAAAAAAAAAAAAAGATTATTCTGTATAGTAAATATGTGTTGAATGAATGAATGAAAAGAAATCCTCAAGATGGACCCAATACCATAAGCATGGAGATCTGACCCCTTCCTCAGGTAAGAAACATTTATTTGGATAAAAAAGAAGGCCTGAGGGCTGGGGGCCAGGGCTGGCATGTGTCTCAGGCCTGGGACTAGGCAGCCTGCACAGGTTGGGAGAGGCACTTCCTCTTGCTTAGGTTGGTGAGGATCTGGTCCTGGTTGGGCCGGTGGAGAACCACAAAGCTCTCTGGAGGAAGGACGGGACCTCTGTTCTCTTCCACCTGGCCCATCAGCAGATAACTGGCTCCTGGAACAGGGAGGGGTGGGGGGCGGTTAAGATCTCATATTCTTGACACCTGTCAGCACACCCTCTCACTCAGATTCCACACCTTGATCATTTCAGTGTGGCTTAGCTCGCTCCATCCCCATTTCCCCACATCTCTGTTACCTTTCTTCATGGGGGGGCACTGCTTGCAGGGCACGTAAAACTTCAGGGAGGCACCAGTGGGTGGAGAAGGTAGGTCCAGTCCTCCAGTTTTGTAAGCACCAATAAGACTAACAGTGATGGTGAGGCCCTCTCCTGGGCCCCGAACCATGGACTTCACTGTTGCAGTCACCACTGTGGGAGAATGGAAGTGAGAGATGAGGAGATGGGAGGTTCCAGATGGCAGGACTGGGAACCAGAAGGTGGTTTGAGGAGCTGGACCAAGGTGCGGGGGTGTTCTTACCCAGGCTGCTGGCACAGAAGTTGCTCTGCAACGTGCCTGTCCGGCGGCACTGCTTTGGACAGATGACAGTGGTTGCATCTAGGAGGGAGGCGGGTGGAGGGTGACCTGCTCAGCAGGTAGGAGGGAGCATTGTCCCCATAAGTCTCATTGACTTGAACTGTTCAGAGCTCTGTCAGCTTCTGGTCCCAGCACCAAGTAAGGGCCATTGGCAGGAAGGAGGCACCAGTGAGTATCAGATTAATCAATAAGTGAATGTAGCCAAGGAAGAAGTTGTTTGTGTAAGATGGAGCCTTGCTCTGTTGCCCAGGCCGGAATGCAGTGGCACTGTCAAGGCTCACTGAAGCCTC